TGTCTCTTTCTGCCCCTCTCCCACTCACGTTCTGTTTCTCTTTCAAAAATAAATAAACATTAAAATTTTTAAAATAAATACATCAATTACTGCCAATATAAAGTCGAAACAAAATGAATAGTTATACATTGCTATCACTTATTAATCTGTCCATAGCATGGAAAATCATTAGCAAATTCATGAATTAGGCACCTGCTTAGACTTTGTTTTCCAGAGAATTATCTAATTAAAGAAATGACACTACATAAGAAGGCATCAATTTTAAGTAGTCTAAATACATAGGAGTCTCACAAATGGTTATATGCAAGCAATTTAGTAAAAATGTACCAAAATTTAAAAGATATGTGCTCTTTTGATGAGCAATTCTAGGAATTCATCCTAAGAATCATCCCCACCTTTTTACAAAAGAGTATGGCAAGGATATCCACTATAGCTACATTTGAAATGCCCACTAAATAGGTGCAGGAGATTGGTTAAATAAATTACTATACATCAACAATAATATACTATGTGGTTATTAAAAAGAATTACATAGATCTATAAATACCAAAATGAAAGAACATATAACTGAGATAAAACGCAATGTGCTTAAAGTATGTTTGACATACTCCATTTATATGTAAAAAAAATTTTTTTAAACTACTACTTTTATTACTTTGTATGTATAATATATCTCTGAAAGGATAGACAAGAAAAACAGGAGTTTTTATCTAGGAGAAGTGAAGGGACTATGGTCAGAGGTAGATTTACTTTTCACAGGATACCTTTATGTACTTTGAATTTTTATGCCATATGTATGTATTACTTATTTCAAAAAACATTCCTTACATTCAGAGGAAGTCATTCTGTTGCACATATAAGAAAAAAGCCAATTTAGGGGCACCTGGGTGGCGCAGTCAATGGAGTGTTCAACTTTGGCCCAGGTCATGATCTCACGGTAAGTTCGAGCCCTGCGTCAGGCTCTGTGCTGACAGCTCAGAGCCTGGAGCCTACTTAGGATTCTGTGTCTTCTTTCTCTCCCCCTCCCCTTCTCACATTTGGTCTCTCTCTTTCAAAAATAAATAATAAACATTAAAAAAAATTAGAATAAAGCCAATTTAATGACAAATACATGAAATTTACACAATCTCTTCCTATAACTTTTTAAATCTTTTTTTTTTTTTTTAATTTTTTTTTTCAACGTTTATTTATTTTTGGGACAGAGAGAGACAGAGCATGAATGGGGGAGGGGCAGAGAGAGAGGGAGACACAGAATCGGAAACAGGCTCCAGGCTCTGAGCCATCAGCCCAGAGCCTGATGCGGGGCTCGAACTCACGGACCGCGAGATCGTGACCTGGCTGAAGTCGGACGCTTAACCGACTGCGCCACCCAGGCGCCCCAACTTTTTAAATCTTTTAAAGAGAATTCATCTAATGGAGTTAGGAAAAAGTCAGGCAAAAACTACATACTAAGTTTTTATAACAAACACTAAGCCATACCATATCCAAGACTCAGCAATACTATAGTCATTCATATTCATACTCTTTGGGCTTTATAACCCATTTCTTCTGTTAAGAAAAATTAATCTTTTTTTTTTATACAGAGGAATATTTTCACTATTATTTTTAAGGAATCATCATTCGTCTTTGGTCTTTCAAACAACTTTTTAAAATATCGCTAACAGTATTTATGTGTGAATCACCTCTCAATGGCTGTGCTATTATGCTTTCTATTTTTATCTATCTTAGAGTCTGAGATAAACCCAAAGTCTTTTAAAAATATCGGCTTTGGCAAAAATTGAGTCTGTCCATATCAGGAGGGGAGAGAAACAAGGACCGGGATGTGGGAGGAAGGAGAATTATTGGTTAATAAATTTTACCTTCTAAATCACTGAAATTCAAAAGTACTAAGAATGGCAATATCATGGCTAATGTTCAAAAATTGGCTAATGTCAAACATTTCCAGTGAATTATAATCATGAGGGGTTATTCGAAGTTCAACATAAATCAAAACACCAGAAAATATCCACTTGCCGTCTTTAATACGTAAGGTCAACCTAAGGTGAAATCCACACAATTCTAAATTTATTTCAAGATTTTTGGTAGAAATTAAAAATTACAGACTCAGACTACTTAATAATTGCTTCATTATTGAACACTAGCCCACAACAAATTAGTAGCACTAATTTAGGATACTTAAATTTGTAATTATTTTCATTGGAAACAATAAACACTAGCTCTTAGAAAATGTGTATGAGGACACTATATTAATTTTTAATACTTACTAAACTTCCAGATAAGCATTAAAAATGAGAATACTATCTCGCAACTTGTCTTTAAGATATGAAATTTTTTTTGCAAGCTGGAAAAACAGGAAGATCTGCTGTAATAAATTTAGTACAAAGATCTCCTGTAATAAAATGCGTGCATCATGAAAGGAGCAGCATAATACGGTAGCTAAAAGCATAGACTCTGGGAGCCAACTGCTTGAGTTCAAATTCTAGTTCTGCCACATACTAGCTGTGTGAACTTGGACTAGTTATGTAACCTCTCTGTGCCTCAGGTTCCTCACTTCAAAAATGAGGATAATAGCACCTACTCTTGGGGCACCTTGGTGGCTCAGTCAGTTGAGCGTCCAACTTCGGCTCAGGTCACGATCTCATGGTTCATGAGTTGGAGCCCCTCATCAGGCTCTGTACTGACAGCTCAGAGCCTGGAGCCTGCTTCAGATTCTGTGTCTCCTTCCCTCTCTGCCCCTCCCTTGCTCATGCTCTCTCTCTCTTTCAAAAATAAATAAACATTAAAAAAAAAAAGTCATGGGACATCTGGATGGCTCAGCTGGTTAGGCGTCTGACTTCAGTTCAGGTCATGATCTCATGGTTCGTGGGTTTGAGTCCAGCATCGGGCTCTGTGCTGACAGCTCAAACCCTGGAGCCTGCTTCAGATTCTGTGTCTCCCTCTCTCTTCACCTCCGCTACTCATGCTCTGTCTCTTTCTCTCTCTCAAAAACAAATAAAACATTAAAAAAATAAATAATAATAGCACCTAGTCCATAGGGTTCTTGCAAGGAATACGTACGTAAAACAATCAGAACAATGCCCAGCAAACAGTAAACACTCAGTAAACGTTAGCGATTATTACTGGATT